AGGACTCGGAGACTGTGGGCTGGCTAAATCGATGGCCGTACTCAGCGAAGAACCACTCAATGCACTGCTTTTATGTCGGTTTTGCGCCCATCGTCGCAGAGCACTTCGTTGCTCCACAGAAATTCCCTTTTTTGGCGGCATTGTTAGCACCAATCTAGCAAAAAACCCTGGTCAAGACGATATTCAGAGGTTGAAGAACGATAATCAAGTAATCGGTAAATGTATGGGAACGAAGTCCGTTCCGGAAAAAATATCGTCTTAACGGCAATATTGTCTTAACAGGGGTCTGACTGTAACACCTTTTCGATTTCGAGCATCTCCCCTCCCTCAGAGGTACATGACCTCCTACACCTACGACTGTAATGAAGTTCAGAAAGAGGAACGATATTGCAGTTTCAAGCGCTACAACGGTACTCAGAGAAGCCCTCGTCATATCACGGCATATACTGCCCACCGGTGGCCAAATAAAAGCCCGCGAAAGAAAATTAAAAGACCCTTCCACCCTCAATAGTTCCAGATCCGACTCGTCATTAATATCGTCTCTTCCAACCTTTACTTCCGAATCTGCTTGCCAGAAGGACATCTGAAATACGTGAGTTACTCGACAACCCCACGTCCGTAACCACTTTGGAGTACTAAGCTTGACTGCTTCATGGCAACTACCCTTGACCAAGACTTTCTTGACATCCTTTCACAACCCTAGATTTGTCCTTCGACAAGAGAAGAAGTCTTGGAAGATTGAAAGGCACCCTTTGGTATACACAGATCTGCTGCGGCTGACTGGCCGACCTCTATGCACCCTTCGAGAAGGCGCCCATGTCTTCGGAAAAAGTCCTCATGTCGGTATTAGGAGAGCCCTGCACTCAGTGGTTTTTGAGACTTTTCCCTGCAGCTGCACACCCGCAAATGGCAATCTTTCATCGGCTGGAAAGAGGAGACGACAGGACAACGGCTCCTCTACGTGTGTAACTAAACGAAGACCTGTGGTGGCACTACAGCTCGAAGGAAGCTGTTGATAAGGCATAGGAAAAAGTACACTTTTCAAGACACAAATACTCGTGGTCTATGGGTAGAAAGGACATACATGTTTTCAAATCTTCTATGACTCGATAAGTCAATAAATTTAAATATTATTGCAGTGGTTTGTTGAATACACATAACTAATCTACTATTATTTGAGAAATGAGTTTTTATACCTTTTAACGTAAATATCTGCCGCTAGATTTTCTAATCGCAGAACATAGTCTATGTCACACACTGTATCCAAGTGAGAGGTATTACCAACTCCCCACGGCAGATTTACAGATAACCATTTCTCAATCACTTTACGAGATGACATAATCTGTGCCTAAAGGCTATAAGCTTTAAAATATCTCGGCTCAAAAGAAGATTATCACCTCCATGGACCGTTGAGTGTGTGTAGTTTATTGTGCTACTTGAGTCTATGAATATCTAGCACATTAGCTCCTCTCTGAGCCACGCCACAGAATGTGTGCACATCCATCTATATCTTCCTTTTTTGTAAACCTAGAGGTTGGACTGTCGAATCTGAGCCGTAAAAATAAGTGCCTTTCTACTTGTGCCGATTTGGCTGTTACCATAGAGTTTTGGTCTTAGAATTTTTGCCCATTACTCGGGCCCGAAACCTCTCGCCAATGTTAAAGGGAGACGATTTGATGCCCCGGTTGCGCTCCTGAGTCATTTTACTAACGGGGGACCGACAATCGCTGGTATGGTGTTTTATGTTGCGATTATGTGCGCTGATCGTGTAATATTCATTTTATATTTCCTACCTAAATGTAGAGCGTGAGGGGAAAAGGGTTTTGACCTTTGCCACTCGTCGCCTGGGGTGGCGTGGTGAGTAGAGGTTCGCCTGTGTATTCTGGCAGGATATCTACGATCCGTCCCTGATGGAAGGTAGAAGAATGAAATATCCGCTGACAACAATATCTATCCTTGTAGAGCGCGTGACGATATTCCTTCCTTGATCTACAACAAAATTAGTCGCAGCTATATCTGTTTGATCTGTGGGGGTTTGAAGTAAGCTCTCAAATTTCATCACGTTGATTGACTCTGCGCTTTGTTAGTTGTTAGGACTCGGGTTTATCGCACAGAGGACTATCACGACGCCGGGACGCGTCGAGTCTTGAGCCTGGAGGTTGATCCAATAGCCAGCCTCGGCGGATGTACGTGGAGATATGGCCAGGAATGAAGATTAAAATTAATTTGCCCGTAGATCAGCGTATTAGGGGACATAATTAGGAGGGCAAGACTGAACACCTGTACGCGGTGTCCTCTACGAACCTCGGAGTGAAATATTCTCCCAGTACCAAGTTCAGTCAAATTTCGCAATATCAAAGAAGTTGGCCCACGAGGCAAAATTTAAAATTACTCCACCCGTCGTTTTTCCGCTCCCAACAAGTTTGACGCCTACCTAAGTCTCATCAAGTCTACAAGTACGACCTAGTACATCCTCATCCCAATGACCACACCTCTCTTCGACCTTCTCTGGTCTCAGTTGACCACCAAATACACGCCCACGCCGATATTTATACCCGACGGAGGAAGCGAAGCGTGGCGCACAAATCTGGGAGACATTTCTTTGGGATGGACGTGAGAGGGATCAGGACAAGTTTACAAGATGATGGAGGCATGTCTGGATAACTCAGGGTTTTTGAGATGTTCCCCTGGGTGGGTATTCACGGATGAGGGTTGACTTGGGGCGAAGAAAAAGCTGCTATAACTTCGCAGTGGTACTCGCAAATGAAATCCGAGACATGAGTGCTCTTCCTTTACGTTGAATCATCTATTCTGTACTTTTCTTTGATGTTGTGTCATAGCTAGATAGCTGCATACGTAATTAAAATTTGATGCAAAAAAAAAAAAAAAGGGGACATAATTAAAGTTGTTTCTTTTGAATTCGATGTCATTCTCAGGTGGGTAGTGGGGTAGTGTTGACAACTGTACCGATTCTCATCGGAATTTCTTCGAGATGTTGGACTCCTGTGTAGTACATGCCTTAGGGCTCAAAATCACAACGGTGAGTGTTGAAAATTAAGAAGCAGCACAATTTTGGTACCATCATCAAGTCAGCTGCCCGTTACAAAGTCGGTGAATGCAATTAGCGGACGGGCGTCCCGAAACATGTGATTGTCTCTATATGTCTCTCCCTCCCGCCTCTGCCTCAAACGCCTCGCTAATGACGGCGAGTGTAACCCCTGTCCGAGTCCCACCGACATCCGGAACACAGAAACCACAACCTCCTACTCAATTTCAACGACGCAAAGCACACGGAATGATTCACAACGCTCGACTTAGACCGATTTCTGGAGAATGGGGATAATCGTGAGAGGACTGATTCATGAAAATCAGATTGCGCGCCGATTCGAGTACTCGTTCATCACTACATTGACGCAGAGCCGGTTTTAGGTAGTGCTGTTCGCTATTCGGCCTATGCTGATGTCCCTGGTTGGCAGTGTACAGTTATTCATTCTACGAATATCTGGACTGTGCGAGTCGGCGTGTAAATAAATGAGACGAGGTTCGTAGGGGTACGAGGATGGATCTAGTGATAATGCTTGCTCCCCATGATCATCAGATACTCATAAGGCTGACCCACATGCGGGGTCCCCGCCCGTCACCGCGCCATGGCGATCAAGCAGTCAATTCGTACCATGCTCTTCGGGCCCCGTCAAAGTCCTGGCCACGTCCTGAATGTGAATTATTCGGTGCGAGGCAGGAGCAGGAACCAGTTTCTATGGATATCTAGCGGCTTTGTATTAGCTGGGCCTGTCATCAGCTTGATGTAGAGCTTAGACGCCTCGGGTCCGAAAATTCGGCAGCATCGTATAATGACAAGCCGGTGGACAGGGCAAGAGATTGCCGTGAGCACTGCGCTGACCAACAATCTCTTGGCGCTGGAGTTTCATGCCTGATTGTTGTATGGTGGTGGATACCACCACGGCTGCTAAGCGAGCCCCGTCGCGCTCCGTAGGGGACTGCAAGTGTGTAGAGCGCCTCGGAATACGCCAGGAACTTCTGTAAGTCGTGCTAAGGACGAGACGCCGTCGGGCTGTGTTTCAGGCCTTTGTACCATTGAGCCCCAACTATCGCCCACTGAGACTTGAAGGTACCGCAATAGAATTAGCCTCGTCATGTCGACAATGTCCAACATGATGATATGACCACCAATTGGACGGGTGGGCCACTATCTGGCTATCATCGCGCCTAGCCTGTGCCGAGACCGAGATCCATGATCAGAAGAACGCGTTTATCTTTTGTCAGGGCTCGTAGCCGTGCGGTAAGTGATGATGACTTGCCGGGATGGGCCACATCGGGCTAGGAACCCCCCCAGAGACCCGCAAGTTTGGAAGGCAGCCACTAATCACTGGGATATTTGATATCTCCACTCTCTACACGGGCCAACAGCTTTATCCCCCGAAGTTCACGCATCGTTTGTCTCGAAATTATGGGCCATCGAGTAAGTGCTAGGGACATGATTCGAACCATGATATACGCCCCTTAGAGAGCATAGCGACTACTCGAAAAACCTCACAAAGATACTCTCGTCCATGGCTCTCGCATACATTATTCAACTAACACCAAACCAAGTCATCACGTAATCGCGTGGGGGATGAGGCTGATCTAAACTCGCTCAAACACCGTATAACTGTTGCCTGACACGCAGGTCACACTTCGGACGCCGCTGAAACTACCAAGTCCCAAAGTACACAACAACATGGAGAGAAATGATCGTCTGTACCTCCATCATCTGAAACATGGCAGTAGCCTATTAATCGGGTGTTCGCACGTTGCTATGATTCCATATCATCGCAATTTTTAATCATTGGCTGCGCGGGTTCAAAGAAACCACAAGTCCTTCATCTTCGTCCTTTCTAATAATCTTTCTTGCTACAATCGTTTTTCGGCCGAAATAATACTCAGATATAACACAAATCCAACTTCGAGATTCTGGAGGTACAGTTTATGCCTTCTGTCAGATGAACAATCGATCCTTTCCTGTCGAGGCTCTGGGAGCCTCCACATTTGTTCTCTTATTTTCACTAGCCTGCCTCATCTTGAGTACTTTGCTAGTTTGTCTTCTCATTAAGTTTGGAGAAAGATCGAAATGTGATTTTTATACCTCCTCATTCACAGACCCTTCTTCTCCTACCTCGTCGCATGCAAGTTTCTTAGATACTAATAGACCGGCAGATGTGACCTTTTTCTCTGTATTCACTGTTGTGAGTACATTCGCCTCGATAATACAACAAATACATTTCGTTGCCAATTGGAATATCATCAAGCAAGGTCATTTTGAACATGTCATGGATAAGATGCACCGCCATGGCATAGCCTTTGGTGGCGCTGGTGAGACTTGGGATTTAGTCCTCTTCTATATACGTGAGAATCTTTGTGGTCAGATCTACAGTTCGAGTTCCTAATTATATTGCAGAGTTCTATTGCTACAATGCTATGAGCTTAAATATTCTATTTTGGTAGGCGTAGACTACTAGCAAAGCATAACAACATTCTAATATTTATTAGGGCAATATCCCTATTTAATAGCTCATGGGCGGATACTTTTTCGCGTCTCGGAGATCGCAATAACAAGTTAGCTTCTGCTTCTAAAGTATTCTCCATAATTTGGCCTGGGGTCATCATTGCTCTTATGCAATGTCAAATGCTACAACACATTCCAATACTCCATATTACCGTCTCATACATAACTAGTAAGTTGTATATCTTAGAATACTTATCATGTAGTCTAGTATATTGACAAATTATTATAGTGTTTACAAGTTTAACACTTGGAAGTGTCCTACTAGTTTTGATTCTCTTCAAGTATATCAAAACAAGACGACTATTAGCGGAATGCAACGGCCGAGGCGAGTGGTGGGCAACTATCGATGCGGACGATCTTATGTACAGAACTTCTACTACAGACAGTAACAGTAGTTCAGTCAGTGCCAAGATAAGTAGCAAAAAGAAATCTATCTATGATAGAGCCCTGGTTACACGATTCACTATCGGATTTGTGGTAATGAGGCAAGTGCTGCAATAATCTAATAACAATGTGCACTGCTAATAAAGTTCAGTGTTTTTGAGGTCGTCATCATATTCTTTACACTTTTCCAGATCAACAACAATAGAGAGATGGCCGAGTCTGGCGAGCCAGATTTAAGTGTAGATGGTGCAATCGAAGAATCCTTCATGTTCATACCGGGAGTGTCAGTCTCACTTATAGCCTTCCTCGTTTTTGGCACGACCAAATCTTGGCGTCGCTATCGTGACCTTATCTTTGATGGTTGCAGTAGCCACAATCACAAAGAAAACTATAGAGGGATCGGAGGTAAAGGTATGACTAACTTCTAAACCTATAGATTTAAAAATGGTTAGGGGTAAGTCTTTGTCGTTCCAGTTGTCTAGTTTTTTTAGCCATGAATATTATATAAGAAATTTATCAAGAACTTTTTTCAAAGGGAATGTAGCTCTATGGATAGTTTCATTCTTTTCAAGAGACAAGGTGACAGCAGTTGTGTAGTCCTTGGATGTATATTAGCTGGCTGATAAGCATGCCTATGATTTATCAATCAAGATTATGTAAGTGCTTGTGAACAACTCTCCAAGTTTGAACGCGCCAAGTACATTCCTGGATTTGTTAGATAATATTCCATCAATAACTGATGAGAGGAAGGACAAATTACAAGCGATAAAGCTCTTGACATTCAAACTCTAACTCTCGTTAAAACAGCTTTCGAGAGGAGGCGATCTAGACGCGTGCATCGGCGAAAGTCACAATCGTTGCAAAGAATTCCGGGCAGGCCAACCGAAGAATAATGCTGTATTCCTTTCCTCAGGATAATGTAGCTGACACATGAATGCAACCGAGAAATCTAACATAATGACACGAGTAGAAATGTATCATGGCATGACATTCAAAAATAGAATCGTTTCAGCAGTTGGTAAAAGCCAAGGTTTGTCAGGACTAACACCAGAACTTTTTCTCCCCACATTAGTACCGGACGAGAGACTCCTCACCAAGCACAAGAAAAAAAACGAAATCTAGATAAACTAAGCTAAATGTGACTAGTCTCTCCCAAGTAGACTTTTGAAGTCCTCCATAGTCATAGACCCAGATAGGGCTATAATATAGATCTAATCTAATCTAGTGGATCATAGAATTTCCTCCTTTTCTTCTCCCCGAATTCCGTGTCGACTTTTACGGAGGGAGATGGGGAACGAGGAAAGACGAAATGTGGCAAGCGATCCGTGAGTTTGGCTAGCTGCGTAGCAATTTCGTGAAGTCTATTTCAGTGGTCTAGCTGCATGACATCTCTCCCGGTGCCGCAGTTCCGACCTTGATATTGGGGAAGAGCGGAAGGGCCTAGATTGTTCGTTGGCCCGTTTCTGGTCGGAATACGTCGTTTCGTCGCGCTTCCGGCTAATCAGGGATTCATGGGCGACTGAAAGGCGAAGATGCAAGGTGTTTGTCGGGGGTTTCTTTGCCTAGGTCGCGCCACAATCGACTAGGTTGTGGTTCGGGTCCCGGTCGCTTGTGAGGATTTTAATATTCTCAATTACCATGGGGCTTAGCTCGTAGTTTGTGTATTTAATTCATTTAATTGTCCCGTGTGAGCCTATGACTATGTAGAACATGCAGGTCCTCTCTGCCTACAGGCCAAGGATACCTATACCAGTAGTAAATCCTCTCCTATACCTCCCACACAGCTCCCCTCATAAGTCCTCATTTCATCATACGCTTAGAGAAGCCCTTTGCCTCTAATTATCTCGCCTCTCCAGCCAACGAAACGCTGGCCATTTACGGGTGAATGGCAGCTGGGAAATTTTGCAAAAACCACTGGGTGCAGAGCTCTTCTAAAACCGACGTTAGGACTAGATCTGAAGACATAGTGACCCTTCCGAAGCATTCGAAGAGGCCGACCAGCTAGGCGCTACAGACTTGTGGATATCTCGGGAAATTCACACTCTGCCTTTCTAGCCTCCTTCCAACACCTTTGCGGAAGGTCGTGCTGAAATGTCGGAAAAGTCGGATAAGCCTTGACACAGCGTGATTGCTGTATAGCAGCTTAGCCTAACTTCTTTATACTGTCCAGGGCTCTGGGGAGTGCCGTTGACTCATCGACAATATAATTCCTCCTGGCTAATTAGCCAAAATCTCGATTTTGGCGCCCACAAACGTTCCAAAGTTGAAATCCTCTCGAAAATGTCAGTCTCAGCATGGTCTTCAGAAACCTATTCCCCCCTCTCGCTCCACATCTCAGCCGCCTGTTCTCCCTCAAGTTGTTTGTCCCACTAGAGCAACAGTCCCCCTTAAGCGAGGACCCAGGCTTGTACATTATGATTTAATTTTCTTCTTGCGAGTGTACGTAGCTCCGTAAATATGTAGGGATAGATGGCTGGAAATTAATGGGGGCGAGCTCCTGTATGCGACTGGAGCAACTTCTTTGTTGGACGTTGAGGCGAGATGATGCGTGGTTAGAGATGGGTCAGGGACTCAGATGATAATGATGAGAGAGGCATAGTCGAGAAGTCGTCAAATGGAGATATGCAGAGCATACTGAGCGATTTCACCGGCACCACTGGAAGGTGAAGGATTCGTCTTTGCCCGCACCTATATTAGATACTAGCTACATTTTCAAATTCAAATTGGATAGTTTCCAACTCTGCTCTCATAGACAGTTAGGGACATGCCCTCAAACATACCTCATAGTAGTATATGCAAATGAAATCCGGTGTATGAGTGTTCTTTTTTTAAATTGAGTCATCCGTCCTGTCATTTTTCACTGATATCGTGTCGTAGCTAGATAGCTTCATGCGCAATTGAAATCTGATGCATAACAAGTGCCTCCCTTCGTAACAATAATAGAATATCCAACGAGAAAATATTTCATGGGTAATTGCCATGAATTAACGGTTGACTTATCTCTATACTCCGATATTTTTGACTGGATGGCCTATTTGACGTTTGGAACATGCATATCTAGTTTTCATTTGTAGATACCACTCAGAGCCAGCCCTGGCGGCTTGTAACCTGTTCCGTCAATACTCAATATGGGGAGAAGCGTGAGAGACCCGTGGTCATCGGATGAAATTCTCGTCCGCCAACCTATGTGATATCACCGCTAGAGAATGTGGTCTGCGTTGCACGTCCTGCATGGTGTGGGAATGGGAGATGACGATAATGTAATTAGAAAAGAATAGTGTGTGGGTTCTACCGGATTCAAAGTAGTTTTTCTCGGCCTTCAGGGGGGAGGGGGGCATATGTCCAAGTTATGTAGTGTCTAGTTTGGAGAACAGTCTGGCTGATGCACCACTGCACCATCCTGCCCGCCGCGTCGCTTACACTTGTATCTGTAGCGTAAAGCTCCCGGTCGTTCAGCACAGGTCTGAGTTCCCTGACAAGCACAAGGCATGGAGATCTAGAAGTTCCGGAAATATCATGCGCCCGAATATCGATGATCTTTGAAGCAACAAAAGAGGATAGGAACACTGTACGAGGTGCGGCTTGGGCCGGAGAGGTGCTCAATGTGCTAGATAGTCTATGTCTCAAGCAGTACAACGAACATACATCTCTCATGCGCCCGGGCAGTCGCGGAATTCCGCAGGCGCTCGGGAGAGCTTTGATTTCCTCGGATGCAGCTCCGCTGCAAAATATGGGCAGGGGAAGTTTGCCGGATTTCATGGGAGACTTGATCACTCAGACGCCCATCTGAATAGCCAATGCCACCCATACTTCCGTCACAGTGTGGATCCACGATAGATCCGACTGCTCAACCGGAATGCAGATGTATGCTCTAGATATTCATACTTTTGTTCAGACCTCGTACCTAGGATATCCCAAATCACACCATCACAACAACAAACTTCAGAGACACCGTGGAGTGACGGAAAACTGATATGCATAGGTAGATGGATACTCGACACTTAGGATAATGCATCTTCGGATTATCCTCAAACTCTTTTACTATACAATTAACGCAAAGAAGTCATGTAGGATAAACGCGGCCTCTAAGCCTTGTAAAGAACGTATTGCGCGCCTATATTGCTCACAGCCGTCAGGCATCTCTATCGTCTCTCGACAGACCAAGTAATCGTGTCGAGACTGCATACCTCCAAGCCTGCTGCGTTCGCGCTTCGAATTAAAAGTCTTGAGTGCTGAAGAAGATGCGTTTCAGTGCAGAGCAAGAAGAAACCTCGCCATACGTTTCGTCATTTCTTACACACACCTACTACTCGCAAAGCTCAAGATGCGCGCTCCAAAATTTCAGCATGCCGGGTAGACATGCCCCTCGCCCAATCAGATGCTCGTCTTGCCCCTTTCCTCGGTCTCAAGACGCTACGCGAGCGACTCTATCCACTAGTTAGAGTGTGGTTTACTGTTTTACTTGAGTCATAGACTATGTAACACATTGGGCTCCTCTGTGACTTAGCCCACGCCTTGTACAGTACAACTTACCTCTTTTTAAATCATTTCATGTGTAAGCAGCTATTTAGCCATGACACGACCGGTGATATGTATACATATTGGATGATTCTTTTGGCGTTAGAGACACTCACTCTCTGGATTTCATTCGCAAACACCAATATGAGGTATGTTCGCTTACACAAACAGTCGACCCTCCTCCGCAAGTACCCACCAGAGGGAAATTCAAACCCGATGCTCATCCAAGCATGCTTTCGTCATCCACGTAAATTTGCGCCGCGAAAAATGTGGTTGTGTTCTGCCGTATTTAAACCAGCGATCTACTGTCTCGAGTGGGATATGTGTCCAAGCTATCCAGACTCTACTTGGCAGACCGGTCAAGACGATGTACCACCGCACCATCCAACCATGGCGGTGTTTATAGTGTTGCCTGCACTCTCGCAACCGAAGACTTGGCACGCACAAAGCTCAATTAGTAAAGCTCCTTACGAAAGTTGAAGACCTGACATTATTCGAGATGGTACCCATCTTCTGCATCATTTTGTAATATTATCTTGATCCCTCTCACGTCCATCTCAAAGAACTATCTCCCAGATTTGCGCGTCACGCTTTGTTTCCCTCTTCGGGTACAAATATCGACGTGGGCGTGTATTTGATGGTCAGCTGAGGCCAGAGAAAGTCATCGAGAGGTGTGGTCATTGGATTGAGGATGTACTTGGTCGTACTTGTAGACTTGATGAGACTTAGGTAGGAGTCAAACTCATTGGAAATGAAATATTGATTTAGTGAAGTATTTTGAATCATTACCCCTTGGGCCAATTTGTTCGGTATTGCGAGATTTGACTCAACATGGCTCTGGGAGAATTCTGCACTCCCAGGTTCGTAAAGGGCACCGCGTACAGGTGTTCAGACTTTTGCCCTCCACTTCTCCAATCATTAGCATGTATGGAAAACACAGCCTCCATGGTGGCTCCAATCAGTCTCGTCGCCGGCAAAGACTAATCCTTCGCCCACAGTGCTGCCAGTGTAGTCGCCAAGTCTACTTCACGTATCTGGGATAGCCCAGAAGAGTCGCATTAGAATAAAAGTCGAAAGCAAACTCGAGCAAATCTAGAATCGGCCACCGCTCATCCATGTCGATCTCATCATCCCCATGAGCCCTCAACAACCAATAAAGGTGTTGCTTCAATTGCAAACGGGGGCTTGCCTTCTCAATTGCTGGCTTTCTCCTACCATAAAAACATCACGCTACGTATATCTGCGAAGAAGGGAATAAGTCAGGGTATACTAAGCTCGGGGTCCGGCATATGGGAGACCTTTGCTCTATCGGATCTACAAACCTCGTGAAGATAGGCAACCAGGGCATGGAGCAAGAGGGGGCACGATTGGCCGAGCTAGGACTTATATTTTCGAGGGGATCTCGACTTTGGGGTGTTTATGTGTGCCGGTGCTGCGCATTCCCCTAATTAGCCAGAAAGACTTTTATAGCTAATGCGTCTGCGGCACTCCCTCTTACCCCAGACGGCGCACAGAAGTTAGGGTGATCTACTTGATAGTCAAGACTCTTGCGGCACTTCAACACCTCCTTAGGGAAAGAGTTGGGAGGAGGCTAGAAAGGCAGAGGGTGAATGTTCAGAGATACCCACGAGTCTGCTTCTTCAAACACTTCAGAAGGTGGCTGCTCTACACCCGCGAGTAGTCATGGTTTCGTCGGATGGAGAGGGGAGGGGATGAAGGGACGAAGGTCACCATCGCTGTACGCAAGCTATGCCACAAAATAATCCATATTTTTCCATGGAAATTATTACTCTGTTGGGACTGAGCCAATAAGTGTGTTTCCTAATGATCAGCTTACAAAATTGCTCACTAAGCGGCTTGTCTGGTGCAAAAGGCAGACACATTCGCCACATTCGACAAACATGCATGGCTGCGCTCGTAGGTCAGCCCAGCCAGCTAAGACCAGGCAAACTCCATAGTAAAGGGGTGCTCTAGGTGAACAATCGAGTGAGGACTTGTGAGGGGTAATATCTTTGCAGGAGAGTAGCATATGAGGCAAACGAGGCCATGAACTACTCGCATACGCTTCCTCGACCTGTACGTAGCAAGAACCTGCATGTCCTGTACAGTCCTAGATTTACAGAGGACGATAGTGGTAATGGTTGGTCTTATTTCAGCGACACGTGGTGGATAGGATTACATAGTCATAGACTTAATAGGACAATAAACACAAAACCAAACAAGTGGTGCCAGGTGTGGTGGGGACAGCGAACATCTCCACATCATACTTAGGTCCAGACTGCGCATGGGCCACACGACACATCATATAAACCCCCAAAATGAGCTATCGGATTTGCTTTCGCGACGTGGACCACTGATCAGATCAAAAGGACTGTCTAGAGCAAGCTGCAAACCTGCAGCGGCCTGTAGGCACAAAGTAAGCGGCACTCTTGGGGGACTCTTCTCAACACCAGTCAGTGGTCCCCCTATGAACCTCCAGCTCTCACTGTAGAGTCTCCAGAGCCGAGATTGAGTAACGAAGTCTTCGCTTCGACGAAGATTCCCGATCTCTTTCGCGGTCTGTATCGTCTTCATCTATCAACTCATTCCCCTATCACCATTATCATGAAGCTAACCACGATCAGATCAGATGGTAGGGTTGAAGCCTTTCTCATCACCAACCCTTGATCATGGAGGAGAAGCCATCCGATGAGCTTCCCGAGCGTAACCAGCACCCGATACGGAGATGGCGGATTGGATCAAGTCGCCTCGACTATTACAAAGAAGGGAGATGTCGATGAATATGCGCACCTCATGTGGTCCCGGTGTCTAGGCCTCGCCTAGCTGGGGCTGCAGGTTTTTAGAGGGTCTTCCCGCGCAAGCTATTCCCATTCCTACCGTTTTTTTGGGGGTAAAAAGTGGCTGAATTCCACGGGTAAGCACTGAGCTGAATGGCTATCCATCAAGGGGAACATATCAGTGATCGTTCAAGTAACAAAAAAGGATAGGAGCACTGTACAAGGTGTGGCCTGGGCCAGAGAAGAGCCCAATGTGCTAGATAGTCTGTGACTCAAGTAGTACAAGAAACACACACGCATAAGCGGCACTCTCGCTTGCCCGTCGGCCCGATTCCTCGAAGGCGCCCGATAGCCGAGAGCGAGAACGGCGTGGGCCGGCGCGTAGGCGGTGGTATGGGTTTCGAGGACGTGCCATCGGAACATGAGAAGCAGGCCAGAGTCGTCTCAATGCACAGGACACATGCCACGCCGTAGTTTGAGATCCCAAAACCTCAAGACGACGAACGGCTTGCTGTGTCTCCTGTATTAATTGCCCATCGTGTAGCAACAACTGACTCATTTCGAAGACCTAGGCCGATCAGAAGATGATTACATCGACCTCGGTTATGTTTCCGCGATGCTGGGAGGAGAGAACAGATAACTCTGCAGTCATGACCATTCCTTCATGTCGGACGACAATGAGCGAGCCCCTATCCGTAGTATTATCTTTAAACTCGACGCTGAAACGTTCCTTCAGAGCTGAGATTTAGTTGCAACAAACGATATACATGAAAGTTTGGCCGAAATGGTGGGAACGATTTGGACACATCGAGTATTGGTAAAACACAAGGTTATACAAAATGGGCGCTGTCACGAAGTCGGTGAATAAAGTAACTTAACTGGTATCTCGAAATACATATATCGTTATGTCTTCTCTTCCCTCTCTCCAAGTGCCTCGCTGATGAGCCAAGTTAGATCCATATGGGAGTCCTAACGATATCCTGAACCCTGCAATTATATAACTAATTCATGCCAACCTAATATGATCCTTTTATCGACACCGAGAAAATTAAAATGGTTCGGATGGGATTAAACGGCCAATACATCAAGTCTAGAAAATTGCACTGGATGAAGTACACGCCATCATGATTGTAAAGATGAGGAATTTCACTTATACTGGCGTCCTGTGTAATATAGAGGGTCCGTGGATGGCACCATGAATGTGTGCAGTGCTCAATCAGGATAAACGAATCATTTTGTCCTACGTGTCATGTAATTCTGCTGAAGGACCGTTTGAGGTGAAAAGAGCAACAGGCACAAGTGTTTTCTGTCTTGACTGTCACTGTGGTGCTGGTTTTTAGTTTTCATCCAACAATGACTCGCCTGCTTCGCCTGTAGCCTTACCGTAACCCATCCGCTCGAATGCCTCATCCACTTGTTGCTCCCAGTTACTAGCAGCTAGGATGATCCACTCAATTATACCCACCAAGTAAAGAGCTATACACTGGCCTATCCAAAGCCCTGTCAGACCCCATCCGTGGAACGCAAGCCAGATCCCCAAAGGTAAAGCGCCAAAGTAGTAAATTACAATGTTCACAATAGCGCCAATGTGTTGCTTACCCATACCTCTTAGACTCCCACTACAACTCCCAGCGAGACCATCTGCTATCTGAAACAATGCAACCCATGGCATAATTTCTGCTGTTAACTTGATCACTGCAACATCGTCATTGAACAATTTGGCATAAACGTTCTTAACTGCCATGAGGAAGGCAAGCACTATGGTACCAACGAATATACTCAGATAAGCCGACACGCGAACTGCGCGAGCGGCTCCCACTGCATTTCGAGCTCCGAGTAAATTCCCCACCCTCGCACTAGTTGCCACACTAAATCCAAGGGGTATCGTGTTCATTACTTGATCTGTAGTCATAATAATGCTTTGCGCTGCCAGGGATACTGTTCCCAAGCGCCCAGCTGCTAAAGCGACAATCTCAAAAGCCCACCATTCGGACCCAACATGCACCGTGCCTAGAACAGCTAGGCGCGCGAACGTCGATATATGAAGACATTCCCAACTCCAGCCACCCCAACCGCGGGAATCAGATATGAATTTTGTATAGAGGAGTAGGAGGAAAAACGAAAGCCAGTAAGCAATTCCCGTCGCTAGAGGAGCTCCTAATAGACCGAAGTTGCATGTATGAACGAAAAAGTAGTTCAGACCGGCAGATACTGGTGAGGTGATCAAAAGAACATATGTTCCTGGATGCATAATAGCTTCACGTTATTAGTGCTAGTTTCAGTAATGAAATTGAAAGCTGTTCGTACCTTGTGCTTGAAGATATTTTTTCAGGGCTTCAAAATAGATGAAGCCGAGACCACCGGGAATCAAGGCCGTCAGAAACTTGGCACTATCAACACAAATATACTCTTCCTGACCGAGAAGGCGAAATATTGGCGCTGAACATGCCCAGAGAATGGCGACTGGTATATACAGGGCTGTCAGAACAAGAAATGCCTTTTGAAGAAGAATCCCAACATCGTGAGGATTCTTGCTACCAGTAAATGTTGAGGATGCCAAAGTATCCAGCGCCGTTGTTCCTCCAAATGCAATTAACCATGCAGTTGACATTGCGAACATATAGCTGAAAGACGAAGTTGCTAATGCCTCAGGGCTTAGCCGACCAACGATTAAGACAGAGACTGTCTGCAGGGAATTTTGAAGAGAATATGCCAATATTACGGGTACAGAGCCACGTAATAATATCACAAATTCGGCCAGTGAAGAGCGTTTGGACGAGACATGATGGAGATCCACTTCATCTCTGATTGTAGTAGTGCTCAAGCGTGGCGGGAGAAGGGATGTTCGCTCGTCTGAATAGCTAGAAGTAATTGGCAAACTATTCTGTGGTCGTGTACGCTGCGAGTTTGTCGCATTCTTGATACTCATGGCTTTTTCACCCGCTCTAAGGTCGGGTAATGGGAGAATTCAACATATAACTAGTCCGTCAGGCTGATGGAAAACGAATTGCATATGTCAGACAGCCCCATTGCCGGACTTTTGGCAACCCAAAGTAGCTACGTACGTATGTGGGTACAGCTGGTGACGGTACCGAGATGATCCCCCGCACTAACGCCGGCGTATTCGCACGTGGAAAATAGCTCGGATCTAGTCATCGCATGGTAGACCCCCTGTCCATTCTTAACCAATAATTTCTTTTCATCATCTTTCATTTGCACATAAGCCTACCGTGTCTGACTTTACCCGGACTTGAACGTCCCTACAGACTACAACCTGGGAGTATCTATGCCTTCTACACAGCTTCCTTCGAGCTGTAGTGCTACCACAGGTTTTCGTTTAGTTACACACGTAGAGGAGCCGTTGTCCTGTCGTCTCCTCTTTCCAGCCGATGAAAGATTGCCATTTGCGGGTGTGCAGCTGCAGGGAAAAGTCTCAAAAACCACTGAGTGCAGGGCTCTCCTAATACCGACATGAGGACTTTTTCCGAAGACATGGGCGTCTTCTCGAAGGGTGCATAGAGGTCGGCCAGTCAGCCGCAGCAGATCTGTGTATACCAAAGGGTGCCTTTCAATCTTCCAAGACTTCTTCTCTTGTCGAAGGACAAATCTAGGGTTGTGAAAGGATGTCAGGAAAGTCTTGGTCAATGGTAGTTGCCATGAAGCAGTCAAGCTTAGTACTCCAAAGTGGTTACGGACGTGGGGTTGTCGAGTAACTCACGTATTTCAGATGTCCTTCTGGCAAGCAGATTCGGAAGTAAAGGTTGGAAGAGACGATATTAATGACGAGTCGGATCTGGAACTATTGAGGGTGGAAGGGTCTTTTAATTTTCTTTCGCGGGCTTTTATTTGGCCACCAGTGGGCAGTATGAGGTTCCTGATGGATTAGTATGTATGAAAAGTGAGATGAGCTTAGCATTAAGATGGCGTAGGTTCCGGGTGTCTCGTGGCTCCAAACTACTAATATGTATAGTAGAGCTTAAGACTAGGTGTAACTTGGTTTTCTATTGATACCGGGTATCGTCTATATAAGCACAGTATTCCTTATCTTGCGCCCGGACTCCAACGTGAACAACATTACGTAAGCATTACAATTTATGAGAGCCTCGTACTAATCTAGAGGTCTGTCAGTCTTGGATCCTCAAGTATGTGCTGTACTATGACGAGAGCTTCTCTGAGTGCCGTTGTAGCGCTTGAAACTGCAATATCGTTCCTCTTTCCGAGTTTCATTACAGTCGTAGGTGTAGGCGGCTATGTACCTCGGAGGAAGGGGAGATGCTCAGCTCAAATTTGAAAAGATATGCGACTCAATCTTAGGTCTCTCATTGCCGGCAAAGACGAGTTTTTCATATCCCAGTGGTGATGATGGAATCCATCGGTATGCTCTGGATATTTGAGATGGCCAAGGGGAATTGCATCTGATTCCAAGTCTAGACCACATACGATCATATCTATCCTACTAACGCGAGTCCTCCAACTTAATTTTAAGGCAAACTACTCATAATTTTGCCCTAACGACCGCTTTAGTATTTACTCCAATTGCAAACGTTGTTTTGTCCCGTTAAGTACTGGCCATCTCCCGTCACAAAATTACGACGCTACGTATACCAGCCAGGTGGAGAATAAGTCGCGAGAAACAAGGCTTGGGGCCCGACTCATGGGGGACTGTTGCTCTAATGGGACAAAAAACTTGAGGAAGAACAGGCGCCTGAGATGTGGAGCGAGAGGGGGAATAGGTCTCTGAAGAGCATGCTGGGACTGAAATTTTCGAGGAGTTTTCAACTTTGGACTTTTTGTGGGCGCCAAGACCAAGATTCCGGCTAATTAGTCAGGAGGGCTTCTACTGTCGATGAGTCAACGGCACTCCCCAGCGCCCTACCCAGCACAAAGAAGTCGGGCTAAGCTGCCATACAGCAATCACGCTCTGTCAAGAGTTTTCTAACATTTTAGCAACACCTTCGGGAAGGACCTTGAAAGAGGCAAGAAAGGCTGTGTGTTAATTTCCCGAGATACACACAAGTCTGCAGCGCTCAGCTAGTTGGCCTCTTCAAACGCTCCAGAAGGGTCACTATGTCTTCGGATCTAGTCCTAATGTCGGTTTTAGAAGAGTTCTGCACCCAGTGGTTTTTGCAAATTTCCCGGCTGCTATACACGCGCGAATGGCCAGCGTTTCGTCGGCTGGAGAGGGGAGATAATGAGGGGCAAAGGGCTCCTCTTAGTGTATGATCGAATGAGGACTTGTGAGGGGCGGTACAGTTTGAGGGGAGCTGTATGGGAAGCATAGGAGAGGATAAACTACTGGTGTAGGTATCCTTGGCCTGTGGGTAGAGAGGACCTGCATGTCCCACACAGACATAGACCCTTTTTTTTTTAAATCATTTAATGTGTATTCAGCTATAAAGCTATGACACATGATCGGTGCTATGTATACATGTTGGATGACTCTTTTGACGTTAGAGACACTCATACTCTGGATTTCATACGCAAATACCACTATGAGGTTTGTTCGCTTACACAAACAGTTGACCCTCCTCCTTAAGTATCCACCAAATGGAATTTCATAACCTTTAGTTGTCCAAGCATGCCTTCGTCATCCATGCATACCAGCGCCGCGACAAATGTGGTTATTTTTTGCCGGATTTGAACCAGCGATCTACTGTCTCAAGTGGGATATGTGTTCAAGCTATCCAGACTCTACTTGGCAGACCAGCCAAGACGATGTACCACTGCACCATCCAGCCATGGCGATGTTTATAGTGTCGCCTGCACTCTCGCAACCTAAGGCTTGGCACGCACAAAGCTCAATTTGTAAAAACTCCTTGCCAAAAAATCTAAATTCCACGCCCATTGAGACTGTATCCATCCTTTGCATCATTTTGTTCACTTGACCTGAATCCTCTCACGCCTATCCCAAAGAACAGTCTCCCAGATCTGTGCGCCACGCTTTGTATCCTCCGCCGGGTGTAAATATCGGCGTGGGCGTGTATTTGGCGACCAGCTGAGGCCAGAGAAAGTCGACTAGAGGTGTGATCATTGGAATAAGGATGTACTAGGTCGTACCTATAGACTTGACGAGGCTCAGGTAGGATTCGGACTCTTTGGGAGTGAAAATTTGACGTGGTGGAGTTGTTTGAATCATTGCCTCGTGGGCCAACTTGTTGGGTATTGCGAAATTTGACTGAACTTGGCTCTGGGAGAATATTTCACTCCGAGGTTCGTAGAGGACACCGCGTACAGGTGTTCAGTCTTGCCCTCCAGTCATAGACCCAAACAGGATAATTAAAAGAAATAATAACTATTAGACATCTCTATTGACAAATGACGTCTAATTCAATCTCGTCAGAAAATATCGTATCAAGTCGCTACTTGATGCCGCCAAGCCTATTACTTCTGCGCCTCGAATAATTTTGCAATTTTCTCTACTTTTATTTTCTTCGTCTTTTCAAATCGAGCGATAATCAATCAAAAATACGTAGCAGAAAGCATAAAATAAAAAGTAAGAAAAGCAAGTAGAAAAATAAAAGTAGAATTTTCACGTTGTTTTTGGCCATTCATTTGCATGACTTTACATTCATGTACCAGTGCCCGAAGGCTCGAGCACCACTTTTTTTTACAAATATCCATCTATTATCACCCCCACCCACCATATCATGGGAGGGTCTTGGTTGAGGTTTGTGAGAGCCTGCTAGATTACTGCAGGCGAAGGGGTGTTCTGGAGTTTTCTCCTCGCCACACTCGCAGAGCAGCCCTTATCAAAGAAAGAATGACCCTCAGTCATTGAGGCTGTAGAACGCTTTGATTCAAGCAGCTACCGAAGTAAAACGAAATTCAGGTTTTGTAGTCACGTGTGTGTGTCAACAACGCGGCCTAGATGTTAGTCCCCATTGTTCTAACTTCCAAAAGTTCTGCATTTTTGTGATTGAATTGTCGATAGTAGGCTGCAAAATTATCATGAGCTGATCGTGCTGTCAAAAGTAGGTCAGGAGCTCTCCTGGAAAGAAAAACTAGCACCTGTCAGTAGTGTCCCCTACGAACCTCCAGCTCTCACTGTAGAGTCTGCAGAGCCGAGATTGAGTAACAAAGTCCTCACTTCGAAGAGGATTCCCAATCGCTTTCGCGGTCTGTATCGTCTTCATCTCTCAACACATTCCCCTATCACCATTATCATGAAGCTAACCACGATCAGATCAGATGGTAGGGTCGGAGCTCTACTCATCACCAAACCTTGATCACGGAGGAAAAGCCATCCGATGAGTTTCCGGAGCGTACCCAGCACCCGATACGGAGATGGTGGATTGGATCAAGTCGGCCTCAACTGTTACAAAGAAGGGAGATTTAGATGAATATGCGCACCTAATGTGGTCCCGGTGTCGAGGCCTCGCCTGGATGGGGCTGCAGTTTTTTTGAGACTTTTTCATTGTTTTTAGGTCGAATCATCTGTAGAGAAAATTGCTGGATTCCACGGGTAAGCACTGAGCTGAATGGCTATTCATCCAGGGGAATATATCAATGATCGTTCAAGTAACTGTCGGTAAAAGGATCACATTTGAGTAGTGTGAATTGTTCTATGAATTTGCGATATTCAGGTTGTCGTTAGGACACTGGCAGGGGTCTGATTTAGCTCATTAGCGAGGCGCTTGGAGTAGAGGAAGGAAGGGGTGATGGAGAAGGAAAAGGGGAGACAACGTTTTACGTATTTCGAGATACCAGTTAATTGATATTATTCACCGACTTCGTGACGGACAGCTGACTTCGTGACGGCACCCAATTTGTATTACTTCGTGTTTTACCAACAGTAACAAAAGAGGATAGGAGCACTATACAAGGTGTGGCCTGGGCTAGAGAGGAGCCCAATGTGATAGATAATCATCGACTCAAGTAGTACAATAAACACTCACACACATAACAGTCACTGCGATATTTAAGTACCTA